GGTCAGTGTACATATCCTGTCCCTCTCCCTCCTCCAGAAACACCACTCAGACTCCCGGGGATCGGACCGTGTGGCTGAGACACAGATGCAGGTGGACGAGCTGAAGGGCATCATGGTCCGAAACATTGGTAAGCTAAACTGCAGGTGTAGTTTACCTTTCTGCTCAGAAATGTTTTGTTTCTTCGTATTGTTTAACTGCTTTCGTTTTGCTGAAAGAAAAAAAGGTTGCTTGTTTTCTTTCATGATCACTTTTGCAGAGCTGATCTGAGCTACTTGTCCCACTACCTCCCTATCAGACAGCATTGTTCCTACAGCAGTGGTGCATAACTCCAGTCTTTGAAGGGTTTTCATTCCACCTCTGCTCTTAATGACCTAAGAGAGCTGATCATTGACTTAATGAGACCAATTTAACATTTACCAAAGGTCTTCTGCTGGAAAACACCTGGTTATATTCTGGCACCCAAGAGCTGGAGCTGTGTTCTACAGTCTGTTCTTGTCATGCACCAGCTGTGCTCCTACACTGTCGTTTGTGCCGTTGCGAGTGCCTCCACAGCACTGTAGAACCAGTGAGTGGACCTCGTTAATAATATAAGACTCAGTTTAGACTCCATTGCATTTTGTGGTCACAAGTTAAAGATAGTCAAGGCAGCAGTAGTCAGCTGTCAAGGCATGAGCAAAAAAAGTCATAGGAACTGAAGTTCAGTCATGTGACGCCTCTTAAAACTTACTGCAAGACAATCTGGTGTGATAATCAAGAACACAGAAGATCAGTAATCGCAAAGCCAGGACAATGCCTATTAAGTTCATATCCTGACTGAACTGGAACTTGCCTGACTGGCAGCACCGATCACTCGATCCTGAGACTGTTCTGCACCTATTTCACTCTTCATGATCTTGTTCACCTTTGCCACGGGTTGCACCGGGCTCCGCTGGCATGTTTCAGAATGAATTTTCAATCAGCTCGGATGCTGTCTGAAACAACTATCAGTAGCTGAACTATTTGTAATACTTCAAACGGAGATGGCCTTGCGTACTCGTTCGTTAATTAAAACATGGCTATGCCTTAAAATATGCTTTAAAAGGTGTCGGGTGAAAATAAGCACTGAAGCTGGCCATGTGTCCTCTTCCTCTCCAGACTTGGTGGCCCAGAGAGGGGAGAAGCTGGAACTGCTCATTGACAAAACGGAGAACCTGGTGGATTCGGTGAGTCCCGCAGGTGGTTATGGAGCTGCCGAGACGCCTTACTTGTCTCCTGCTTCTTAGGAAGTTCATTCCTGATTGGGGGGCATTTCCCATGGGGGTCTACTAAATGAATCTGGATTTGGATAAAGCATCTACTGTACCAAGACGGGCGGAAATATCAGACTGCATGCTTCTTTCTTTCGCCTGCCAGAGCCTGAGGAACAGACAGTGAGCCTCTCTAATAATTTATGGTGTGTTGTTATTGCTTTGGCAACCCTGTAAATCATCTGTCATGCCAATAAATCTCATTTAGTCTGGGGGGAAAAGTCTTTATGCTTTTATAGTACTTAAGGATCAGTGGCCAGTGGATGTAACCAGGAAGAGATGGTCTCAACTAATAAATCTCCTCCTCTCTTCCTCTCACTCTCCTCCTCTTTCAATCCCTCCCCCCCCCTCTTTTCTCTCAATTATTCCATCTCTCATTCTGCCTCATTCTTCCCCCGGGTCCTGTCGGCAGTCTGTCACCTTCAAGACCACCAGCCGGAACCTGGCCCGGGCCATGTGTATGAAGAACCTGAAGCTGACCTGCGTCGTCGTGTTCGTGTGCATCGTAAGTCCAGCCTCTTTTTTTGTTGCCTCCGAGACGATGTTGGAGACCAGCAGAGCCTGAATCCCACAGGTTCAGAGGCTAGATCTTGACTAGCTCGAGCCAGCTGCTTCGGCTGAGTAACAGAAAGCCCACTGGGAATGGACACTGGGAATGGATGTGCTGTGGTATAGTCAGGGTGGATACCCCTGCTGTTGGAGGTTACCATGCAAGTGCTGGAGTGTACACTCTGGTTTACTGAGCATAGCAATAGGCACCCCAGCATACACTCTGGTTTATGAAGAGTAGCAATAGGAATGCTGTAGTGTACACTGTGGTTTGCTGATGGGAGGACTGGGGGCCCCAGTGTACACTGTGGTTTGCTGATGGGAGGACTGGGGGCCCCAGTGTACACTGTG